TTATTTTATAAATTTAAAATTAAAAGATAATTTAAATCGAGTGAAAATTTTTCATTTTGAGACCATTTTAAAGTACCAACTAGATTCATTTTTCCATAGAMAATATACTCAAGTTGAAAATTGAAGGATTATTTCATCTACTTATCATGTATAATGAAACTATTAACTTTAAAAATTATAAATAAGTAAAATATCATAAAATTAATGAACCTATATAACATTTTATATCGTAGAACAGTTGAATAAAACTTGAGCTTTACAGATATGAAAAGGACTTGAAAATATTGATAACACAAAAAAAAATAGTATGTATACAACATATAAATGTGAGTGGTTTCTCACTTATCTCAAAATTCTAAATACGCTGTTACAGGTGTTATGATCATGTGTACAATATAAGTGTTTGCTTTGTCCATCAAGACTTGCATCTAATCAAAATATAGGTATATATGAATACATTAGTATACATTTCATTTGCTGCAAAAACTACTTAGTTGATATAAAATGTTCGAAAAAGTAAGTAAACTTATTTWAAAAAAATTGGAATTTATTTTTGATACAAAGAATAGTTGAGACACATTCATTGGRCTCATATATAATAAATAAATAAAACACTTTTTTATTGATATTTTATTTCATTGTGTCCATAAGCTCTACGATATTTGTGTGGTAAATATGATTAATTTCCATTGTATGATATTCGATGGATGGGATATAAGCTGTACTTTAAGTTTTTTTGAATGGAAACGTTTTTATTATTTAATGAAAAACTTACGATATAGAATAAATTTGAAATATAATGAATAAATTATTAGCAGACGCGTTGTTTACTGCTACGTCACTATATTTTTATTCGGAACGACGTATATAACCTAAATGGATTACCATATTTYCAAAAGGTTTCTTTTATGTAATTTGATATCATTAAGAAGTTCTCACTCGATGCAATTAAAAAGTTAAGAAAAGAAAAAAAACGAACTATAACTTTTGATGTTAGTGTACGCCTGCAAGCTGTGACCTTTAATAATGCAAGCCTGAATATAGTTAACCGCTTATCAAAACCAAAAATATTTATATTGCATTGAATATCAATTCTGTAAAATAAAATATATAGTACTAACTGGTAAAAATTTAGTAAATCACCAATCCAAATAAAATAAATGTGAATGCAATTCTAATTAAGTCTAAACCGTACGAATACATTGATAACTGTAAAAAGTTATATAATGTGTTCACAGTGGTTTATTTCCAGTAACGTCTTAGTTATCTCCTACTTTTAACCGATAATGTTGTATAATTTTTACATAAAAACAAACAATTTAAAATACCTCGAGCATTCTCAGATAGTATAGACATATAGCAGAGTAATAAAAAAACCCGTTGTACTCGTATTATGTATCGTATTATCGCAATATACATTTATACGGCATGATTTTCTTTTTTCTTTTTTTTATCAAAATAGCTTTTTTATCTTTTAAAACTGGATAAAAATCCTGCGAACACCAGATCCTAATGACCCGTTAAAGCCAGATTAAGTAGTAAATGACCGGTACGTATACGTATTCCTCTCTCAGAAGTCGAAATGGTGGAAACATAATATTATCATTTTTATTTTTATCAATAATAATGAAACGGTGTTAATAATGATAGGCTACCTATAAACGTTTCATAGACGTTTAAAAAAAGTAGTCGTGGTCTCCAAAAACTTATTTTCTTTTTTTTGCCATAGTAATATTATAAACGATTATGCCTTGCRTCACACTTATACTGATCTATAACAAAATATGGGGAATGKAATGGCTCACCTTTTCCGATCGTTTCCACCTCCGACATCCTTGTCCGAACTAAACGAGCTGTACCGGAACAGTCCTTTCTTGTGCGTCCGACTTCCACCACCGCCGCCACCTCCTACAACTTCCTTTCCTCCGTTGTTTTCWATGTCCTGCTGCCGTTCGCCCAACCGTCGGCTATCGGTGAATGTCCTCTCCAGGTTGGCGATATTTTGTTCAACGTCCAAAAGCATCTGACGCTCGTCCGTCGACTCGGTCGGTGACTCTGGTCGCGAGCTGAACACCGACGGCGTCCGGTTCCGGCTGTCATTCGTCGAGTATTCAATGTCCAAATCGATCGTGATCTGTAAACAGTCATAACATATAATATGATTTTATCGAGTGATTCCCACATTCACAACTATTACAACGGAAAGATAAGGCAAATGTTCGAGGATCGTAATTTATACATTCTACAGCCTCACAAGCAGGGCTATATAATAAGTACAGATAATTTTTTTAATTTAGTTACATGTATTTTTCTWACCAAATACGAATAATCATCATATTAGTTTAATTTAAATCATTAATAATTAATATTATATGAATTTAAAATAAATTAAATTATCAAATGTATATATGTATATGTATATGAATATGAGATGTGTAAATAAACTATTTATCTAACTTAATTTATCTATTATACACAACACCATTCACAGCATTAAAAACCTGCAGATTTTCAACACGTATTTTACGAATAAATTGTATGATGAAATTACAATAGATAATATGATTGTTTCTTAATTTATTGAACAATGATTGTTTCAGAAATATAGTTTAAAATGCTCATATTCGAGCAGTCACTCGAAAGTTCTTAATAAAAAGAAAAAATTAAAATAACTATAAGGTTATGACAGAAAATTGTACATCTTGATTATAATATTGATAAAGAATGTAATTTCAGATACGGTAAAATATTGTTGTCACTTCTAAGAGTCTACAATGAAACAGAAATAAGTTATTTGCATGTTAACAACATATATCTATAACATAATAAAATATATAGGTACACATATATAATATTATTATATTTAAGGTAATTTATAAAACATTAAAAACTGTTAATGATATTTTTGTTATCTTTCTTATTAACACTTATCGTATCCTACATTTTTATTTTTTATTTATTTTTTTTATTAAACGAAATATACCCTCGGCGACATAGGCCAYTGGGTTACAAAATTTTTATTTCATTGGGGTAAGATTCCATTATTAACAACTATATTATTTCTTCTTCTTCTTCATCAGCTTAGAGGTCCATTCAGGACCATCGCTGCCAACAAAATCCCTCTCCACCTCTCTCTCTCTCTCTCAGATATGCTGTTTCTWACGTTGTGTCTTGGTCTATCATTTCTATATCTTTGGCAACTACGTCAATCCATCGGGTTTTGGGCCATCCTAGGGGTCTCGTTTTATTTATTTTATTGATAAGTACATTTTTAATTAGCTGTCCATCTGCCCTCCATGGCTCCATGCATATCCGAACCATTCTAGTCGTTTTTTCCTGATAAAATAGAGTATGTCTGGCTTATTATAAAGAGACTTTATATTTTCGTTGCTTCTTCTTTCGTATGTCCATGTTTCTGGGTTGAAGATTGGTCCATAAATGGTTCGTAACACTTTCCTTTCGAACGTGATAAGTCTTTTGCTATCACCTTTAGTCAACGACCAGGTTTTACAGGCGTATGTTATCACAGGTCGAAGGTAGCTAGATATAGGTAGTAGTATCTTTGATCCTCTCGATAACAGCTTAGACTACAGGAGTTTGATAATACTGAAATAACATCTATTTCCATTAGTGATCCGTTMATTTTTTCTATATGAATATCATTTTTGTTATTGATGTTTACGCCTAAGTACTTAAAATTATCAACTTTTTCAAATTTATAATTATCCACTACTATGGAATCTATATTTGGCGGTCTTCTCGATATGACCATGTACTTAGTTTTCCCCTCGTTTACATGTTATCCTATTCCTTTACTTACATTTATGAGTTTAGATGTTGAGTTGATGATTTCCTCTTTTGTTTCACCCATCAGCACAATGTCATCTGCGTAGGCTAACATAACTTGTTCATTGCTTATCTCCATCCTTGTGTCATCGTTTGTGTCTCTAATTATTTTTTCGAGGGCTAAGTTAAATAGTGCAGGTGACAACGCGTCCGCTTGTTTAAAGCCAGATTGAACTTCAAAAGGATGTGAGATGCCTTGTATATAACACACTCTGCATAGTGTTTTTTCATAACATGCTTTTATTACATTCACATACTTTTTGGGTATTCCTAATATTACCAATGCTTTCCAAAGCTCTTCTCTGTCTACACTATCATACGCCTGCTTGTAATCCACAAAGACTAGATGCAAGTCGTTTCCAAATTCGTTTTTTTTCTGACATTATCTGTCTTAGCGCGAAAACATGGTCTGTTGTGGATTTTCCTCTCTTAAACCCGCATTGGTAATTCCCAACTATTTCTTCAACATACGGGCTTAACCTTTCTAATATCAGTGTTGTCAGAATTTTATAGCATGTGTCCAGTAGCGAAATTTCTCTATAGTTCTCAGTTTTAGTGGGGTTGCCTTTTTTAAATATTTGGCATATAATTGCAGTTTACCATTCTTCGCTTGGATTTAAATCATGCCCTATTAAGGGTCGGTTCAGTAGGTCTTCAAAATGTTCCTTGAATTACTTGTCTTTCTTCTGTGATCATAGTCCCCGTACCGTCCACTAAGATCCTTGTTTGTGGTTWGAAGCCAACTTTAATTCYCCGGACATTTTGAAAAACTTTTTTGCGTTGTATCTATTGATTTCTATTTCTTCTATTTTCTTCTTTTTGTGTAGACGTTTTTCTCTCCTTAACACTTTATTTGTCAATTTTCTTTGTTCTTTATATTCTCTTATGCACTCGTCTGATGTATTTTGTAGTGCTTTTTTCCTCAATTCGTTTCTTCTGAAGATTGMRTTCTTACATAAATYGYTGAACCAGTTTTTCTTATTTTCTTTTGGTTTCATTCCTAGAATCTCCATTG